TATATATATATATATATATATATATATATATATATATATATATATATATATATATATATATATATATATATATATATATATATATATATATATATATATATATATACTTTGGCTAAATACTATTCTTCGCGATTTTAAGATTTTTTATAGAGTTATACATCACCATTCTTGACGGGTATTAGGGTATACCGATTTTACTCAAGAGAAATACGCTAAAAGACAAAAAAGTCGGCGTAGTTTACGGCTATGCACACAAGTTCAGGCGATTTCGCTCGCCATCTTACCTTCCTTCCCTTATTCCAAGGAGGATTAGGCCTGGCGCGGGCAAAGGCTGGATGCGGGCTACAAGCAGAGCTTCTATGGTTTATATAGGGATGTGCCGTGACACTAGAGCCACTATAGCAAGCTAGCGTGATGCTAAATGCTAACGTCATAGGTCACCTTTGAAAGCGGAGGCTGACAAGAATTCTCGAAAAACGATCGAACTTTGCTATAGTTATTAAGGCGGATTTCCATTCAGTGGAAAAAGTCGATCGCGCGACTTTTCCCACTGAATAGAAATCCACCTTTAAATAATAACTAACAAAGTTCGATCGTTTAATAATATCTAGCAAAGTTTGATCGTTTTTCGAGAACTCTTTCAGCCTCCGCTTTCAAAGGTGACCTATAACGCTAGCATTTAGCATCACGCTAGATTCCTATATAAACCACAGAAGCCATGGATGTTCAAGGATTTCAATAGGCCGAAATACTAATGCAAGTATAATAATATTCTCTGTAACATTCTTATTTGTAATTATTACGTAACTTTTGTTGTTATAGGCAAGATTTCACTTAAACGACTCCCCTGTTTGAATATTGTTGATAAAAAAGAAAAAGAAAAAATGCAAATATCACATCTTGCGTTTACGTATTTGTAAACTTTGTTTAGTCACTTGTAAATTCACAAACCTTGCAAAAAATAGGTACGCACTGAGTACATATGTCTAGCCCATTAAATTGGAAGGGTTCCCTGGTAAAATGTCGTGGTACAATTGCTGAAAATTCTTGGCATGTACACTTTAGACAAGATCATTCTCCCATGATCCCATCCGAGTTCTGATCATCAAATTTCCATTTTGCTATTTACCTTTGGCAAATTGCGCATTGTTTAGACCGTTAGCTCGTGAGTTGACTGGAGTTTGCTAAATGCAGCCAGGCTCAACTTTTCATGCTTTGCGGAAAACTCAGTAAAGGCTCGCTAAACATTTTTATATGACTCTTTATACATGAAATTAATACAACAGAGACCATTGGTGAATTAGTTTTATTAGAAATTTGTATGTCAATTGTATGTGATGAAACATACGCCGACTTAGAGGTTGGTAAATGTGGGAATCGAGTAGTATGCCCCTTGCAGCAATGATTCAAACTACCAAATGATGTCAGTAGTAGGACATTTGAAGCACATCACAAGCCAATTTAACTGTTTTGGAATTCCTGTAAATTATTATAATCAGTGCAATATGAAGTTGAATTGCATGCCCTTATCTCAGTAGCCGCAGTTTGCAATCTCAGCGGGTGACTTTAAAAGATCTTCATTTACGTGGCGGGTGACTAGCAGCGGCGGACACTTCGGGAATTTATTTTCTTGGAGCCGGGGAATTTAGGTTGCCACCAACATAGGCATCTCCTCAGTTAATCTTTAAACATTTTGCCTGAAATTTCCAATCATATATAGCTTAATTTATAGCCAATCAGCGTTTTAATATAATAACAGATATATAGAAAGCCTGATACTCAGGCTATAACAAATAACGTACCTCTTGCATATGCAATCTATTATTTCGTCGTTCTTTGCAAGCTCTTGTGCTCTTTCGTTGTTTGTAAAGTTTGGTGACCTGATGTTAACAATAAACATTTGAAATTAAATATTTTTGTGTAACTATATAAGCTTCAATACACTCTTCTGGGAACTACTTAGGTCTTAGCCGTGGCTATATAGAGATTCGTTTCCTTGTTTGAGAAATTGCCTTTTAAGAGACCTTTATCTTGTTACTTATTACAAAACATTAGGAACAGGTTTTTATATTCACTGATGTAACTGTATGGTTTCTAAATGTGTCTGACCTCTAACAAGATAAAGGGCTCTAAAAAGTGTAAACCCATGCAATATTTCAATCACGAAAACGGGGCTCTATATAGAAAAGGCTGACCATTTTCCGCAAGGGTGTATTAACTGTGGTTTACTAAACTTGATATACATGCACATTATTGGCTGGAATATTTTAAATTAATCTACTAAACTGACGTACCTTTGCAGTTTCTTTCTTTGTTTCTCCATTTCTCTCATTTTATCTCCAATTAACCCAGCAACAAACTGAATCACCAAATGCCACCTAGGATAACCAATGTGCTTTGACAAGAATGAATCGACATTTTCCAAATCATCAACCACGTCCAGTGCTGCAAGAAATTCTTGAATGGTAAGGTGAAGAAAACAGAAATCATTATCTTCCGACTGATTGAACAAGCCGCATTTTGACAGTTCCGTATGGTCATCAGCGTCATCATCAAATACCAACTGGTCTTCATCAAATACCAACTGGTCTTCTTTCATTCCGTTTTTTGCAATTTCTTTAAGTTTTTTCAAGTCATTTTTCAGATTTTCAGGAAACTTTTCCTTAATATATCTATTTGAGTTCGTTTCTTCGTTATCGCGGTATTTTGCATGGTTCCTGAAGAGTAAAATCTTTATAGCTCTTTTGTACAACTCTGTAATTGTTCTTGGTACATTGCTCTGACCTTCAGCTGCTTCTGCTTTATCAATATCAATGCTTTCCTTTAATGTTAAACACACTATATGGGAATTAACAGGTATGTAACATAAGGTTAACAGCTCTGGTGACTCTTTGATCAGGTTCCATAACTCTGAATATTTATGTGTGTCATTACGGCAGAACATTTTAACATACTCGTCAATTTGTTCCTCATGAAAATCTCAACTTCTCGATCGAATTTTAGCTCTTGATAAATGTGCTCCGCCGTCGGTCGAGACGTGGTTAATACTGTCACCCCAGGTAATAGTTCCCCTTTCATTAGCTGTTTAAAAATCAGGAGTATATGTTTAACATCATTGTGACCATCTATAGCCTCTTCTTCAGTGAAAGACTCATCATCAAATTTAACTTCGTCCAATCCGTCAAAAATAAGAATGATATTACATGGAAACAAACAAGTGTATTCATAGACAGCTTTAAATTCCGCTGATGACATTTTGAATCCTTTAGATTTACGTAGCATTTCTCGAAGACTTGTTTTCCACTTTTTCTTGTAAAAGGTGCGAAAACGTATTAAAAATGTTATTTTATCATGCCAGAATTCTGCTTCTTGCTTTTTCCACTGATAAAAGATTTTTTTCGTCAGGACAGTTTTGCCTATTCCTGGTCGGCCGACGACAAGAATAGTTTTAGGATGGTTTTTCGACATGGGCATAAACAAATCTGCCATTCTCGTTAAAGGTGTATATGCACCCGCTGGTATTTCGAAGTATGCTTCGTATGCCTTGTGCCTATTTTTATACCGTCTTCTAGACGTCCAGGTAGTTTCCCTTCCCTCGTGAATTATGACATTGACATACATCTCTTCCAGTTCTCGACTTGGCGAACGCTTTTGACCATCATGCAAACAAAATGTGTCAGGGAGTATTTTCTCCCTTAACGTTTTCATTATCTTTCTGATTCTTTTACGCTTTCTTAAAAGGTAAACACTACAAAATTCCAGGTCAGTAAGTAGATTATTATCTTTCCATGTTGACCACAACAAATAGGCAAGCTCCATGCACGCCACTGAACCGATAAAGAAATCTATTGCTACAACGGTGGCAGCTACTTTTTCTTTTATGCTGCCCATAGGATAAGTACAGTCCACAGTTGAAAAATTCATACTTTCGTTTTGTGTGAAGTTTGCGTGGGGCGTACTCGTGGTTTTCATTGGCCAAGGACAATCATACTGGACTGGGAAATTCGACGAAGTTAGGAGGAATATCGCAAATACTACCAATGGTATTATACGGCAAAAGATCAAATGCATAATGTAAACCGTGAAAATAATATGACCACCAGGTTTTTTGCACGCCATAGGGTCCGATGCAGCCCGTGAAATATCCAAGAGTGGCTGGCTTTCATCTTTGGCGCCATTCGAAATCGTTGATGCACACGGAGGTTCTGCAAAGATTTCCACACGATCTTTCACCCACCAAGCGTAGATAACATTGAATAAGAGCACAAGTCCAAAATTTAGTATTATCAGAACATAAAGGGGTATTGAAGGATGGAATTCTTGTGCGTATTTCAGAAGACACTGCGGTTCCACAAAGTTCTTCGTTTTTAAGTCGCTCGCAAGGCTCTCGTCGGGCTTACAATGTAACGTCGCTTTCAAATCTAAAGCAGTTGCAATCCCAATGACAATAATGCCAATAAACATAAATACAGCAAGAAGCATATAACAATATTTATTGTAGCCCTTCTTTGAAAGCAATTTAAAACAGCTTTCCATGTTTGCGTGTGCCACGGTACATGTATTTGTCGCAAGCTTGGGTAGAATCGTGGGTGGAATTGCAAGTGAAGTAAATAATTCACATTTCTGCATATATTTCACGCTACCAATCATTGCTCAAAGTAAACTGATTTCCAATTTAATATGCAATGGTTTAAATCAAGTGGCTAATTTTCCCAGAACCCAATTAAGCTTATATTTTTTATGCTTGTGAGTATCAACACCCAGTTAAGATCAAAATCTCGCAATCATTGCAAAACATGCTAGAAGGCGCAATGGTCCATGCAAATACCTTAAACATAGGGGGTTCAGCGTCGGTTGTGGCATAGAACAACATGCTTTGTGAAGTACACCACAGGCATTCTATCTAGAAGATTTAATAATTGTTTTCGAAGTTTCGAGCAAAGGCTCTGCTTCAGGAGAGTTACGGAGATCGAGAAATGTTTTTATCTCTTTCAAATTGAGTCGCTGTTTAATGCTTTGTGTGATCTTGTAAATCCATATAAATGATTGTCTCGCAACAGTTGTGAGACAAAATTGCACGTCATATATTACATTGTGGCGCACTAAATATTTTATCATGCTGCACGAAATATTTCATCACTCCTGCACGAAATATTTCATCGTCATGCCACCCGAAATAACGCATCGTGTTGCACGAACTATACCAAGGTTGTGCTTAACCTGAGTATCAGGTTATTTATATTTTATATATATCCCCTTCGCCCGCGATCAGGCGTGCCTGTGCCCTAAAAAGTACGGCCTGATAATCAGGTTAGGTTGTGCTCAGTACGAAGTTTTCTAGTGTTACTATGAAAACTATTAAATAAAATTATTAATAATTATAACCAGACAACTGCCATATTGTAGGAATCGAACTCATCAAAGACGATGGAATTTCTATAAAATATGGTAAAGAATACCCAGGCCCTGGTGGTACCCTATAGCTTGCCAGTTGCATATCTATATGGCACTAATTTCATAAATCAAAGTCCCATTATACTAAAGGAAAAACACATGCATTTTAAACCACCGTAAAATGTCCATTTTTTCGGATGGCGCTAACCCCACCTGAATTGATCAACTGTATCCCTCTTGGTTTCTTCATATTCATCTGGATTTAAGTCGGCTCTAGTCAGGGAGATCAAAATTTGAAAGATCTATAATTATTACACGAGGTTAACCAAATGACTAAACTGACTTTATTTCTTTTATATGTCTTCCATTCTACATTGTTCTTCTTAAAGGATAAACCCATCATTGGTTCTATACTAATTTTACTCATACCTTTCCTGTATTGTATAGCTCTATCAGCTTTTTGAAATACATTATTCCTGAAGGTCAGTTTCCCGTATATTATTTTTACATTATAATAGAAAGTCAGGATCCCGTATATTATTTCCGACTATCGCAGGAAGAAACGATCACTAAACTAACTTTATGTATACTGGACTGCTAGTTATAATCTATTTTTCATGTAGCGCAGCAAGGCCATACCTTAAGAAGAATTACTCCGGTGTTACTATACAAGAGGAAAACTATTAACGAAACGAATCTCATAGTGGATAGCTCAATTATCAGTTGTGTTTTAGCTCAACATGTAGAGTGGTGGACTAGGTAACCTAGTCTAGGTTCCTAAAGGTTGAGAATTTAAATCTCGCGTACTTATAAAGGATAAGAACTCATTACCAATCTCTGCAGACTTGATAGCTCAACTGACAAGTAGAATAGTGGACTAGAATTCTGAAGGTTGACAGTTCCAATCTCGTGTCCTTATAAATGATAAAAACTCACCACCAATCTCTGTAGGCTTGATAGTTCAACAGATAGAGCAGTCGACTAGATTCCTGAAGTTTGAGAGTTCAAGGTTGAGAGTTCAACAAATAGAGCAGTCAACTAGATTCCTGAAGATTGAGAGTTCAAAGCTCGTGTACTTATAAAAGATAAGAACTCGTTACCAATCTCTGTAGTAGGCTTGATAACTCAACAGGTAGAGTAGTGGACTGGATTCCTGAAGGTCGAAATCTTGTGAACGTATAGAGGGCAGGGCAAGGAATCACACCAACAGGTGGAAGAACAGCGGACTTGCATGATTGCCCTCTTTTGCCGAGGGTTGAAAGTTCAAATCACGCGTGTACTTATAAAGGACACGATATCACCATCAATCTCTGTAGACTTGATAGCTCAACAGCTAGTAGAACAGTGGATTCCTGAAGGTTGAGAGTTCAACTCTCGTTTACTTATAAAGAATATAAGAACTCAAACCATTCGCTGTTGTCTTAATTGCTCAACAGATAGAGCAGTGGAGGTTAAAAGTTCCAACCTTGTGTATTTAGAAAATATAATAACTTGCCACTAAAATTTATAAGCTGCATGCATTGCTCAACATTCAGGTCTTTGCTTTAAATATCACTCCAGTGTTACTATAGACACGTAAAAACGCACAAGTCGTAACAATCCTGCAGTATACATCATACATGCAGACTTGTAGCAATGCTGTTCCAACAATTTGTCAACAGGATGTGTTCGCACTGCTTGTCCCAGCTTGTTGACAACTTGCTACAAAGTTACAACAGTCCTGTTACAAGTTGTTTCAACAACTTGTTCGAACAACTTGTTATCGTCCTGCAATTCAACAATTTGTCAAAAAGTAGTGAGTTACAACCTTGTTAGCCTGCGTGCAGGCCCAAGGGAACTGGTAGTGGGCCTGCAACCATCACCCCATGTTTTCGATTTTCGCCGGCCGAACCGCCGGCTAAATTCCCATTGGCTAGCTGAGGCGATCGGTAATTAA